CACTGGACAATTGTTTCAACCGCTTTGAGTCTCATCAGCAGTTCGAATTCATCAACCAAACCGGGCACCGAACCAGAAAAACCAGGAAATTATCATATACACAAATCAAACACACCACTACTCTCATGAAAAAATAACAACAACAAAAAATAACAACAATAATCAGAATAGAAGCCCTCATGAGAAAAAACAAATATTAACTTCCAATGGTCGCAACATGCCATTGTATGACGATTGCCGTACATCCTCATTCAGTTAAGCAATTGACTCATAGCAACACAAAAGTTAGACGAGTACATTGACTGATTAAAACTGACTATCCTTCGAGCTTCACCTTCGCGTACAATCCTCAGTTCATTCAGTCAGCCATACATTCGGAAGCACCAGACTCTAGTTTCGCTCCAATTAGAGCTCATCAGTAATGTATATCCACCGTCCCGTCCTGGATTCGAACTCCGAACCCATTGCATGAAAGGTGCATGCGTTACCACTGTGCCAAACACCTCATACCGGGGCTGAATCGATGTGTCAATTCATGGTTGTTCAAGTGTCCTCTTCAGCAATAGTCAGTCAGTTCATTTGGCCCGACAGCAACGAAGAGCTAAATGGGAATAATCGTTCGAGCCTGGTAGGTTTGAGACAATTCAGCCCCTGATTCGGTGGGACACTTTCGATTGGAATTAACAGATTGCCATTTGTGTCTCCCTTCATTGCTGTCTGGCCAAAACTGACTGACTGACTATCACTGAAGACGACACCTGAACAAACATGAATTGGTAATTCGGTTCAGTCATGGCTGAACTCTCGTTTGGCTAAAGTCAACTTATCCCGAGCTAAACGACGTGCGCGGCAATGTACGGGTGGGCCGCGTGTGACGATCGTATGGGTAACCGGGAGCAAAATTGTAGAAATTGGTTGAGAACGACCTTCTAACAAACGTTGCAACCTAAACTGTACACTGTTGTTTAAGACGGGGCTTATTGCCACAGCGTCTGTTGCTAAACCTTTGACCGAGTTGGTGCTGTCGAGGAGGAGGCGTTTGCCTGTCTCGACAGTAAGGCCGTGATGTGCTAGGAAATACCTTTCCAAGAATAGGTGTAGATTCAAAGATTTACGATGTGGTCCTGGTGAATTTTCAGTCAGCGGTCGACAGGCTTCCCGATCGGGTGCTATCATACCCACACACACATCTGCCCATCCTACCTACACACGTGTTCACACCCGTTGATTCAGTCATGTGGCACACAACACACACGCACGCACACCGTGACAATGCTTACCAGTTATGCGATGTCGACACGCACTAGGACAAGGCAACCAGTCATATGACCATACACGCACTCACCGCGCCTGTCACCTCACCACTCTGACCCATTCGCGCATTCGTGAACCCAGCCAATCAATGTACTTGACCTTGTGACATTAGCCCATTAGTCTGGGTGACTAGGGTCCGACACAATCTATTACACACCGGACTATTACGTACGATCTCTGTGGATCATATTACGTTGTTTATTTACGCGGACTCGGGCAATCTTGATGTGAGTACTTACCCCTTTCACTAGCGATGTATGCCAATCTCCTATTTACGTGTACTAAATATTATTTTTAGCACATCGTGACCAAATGATGTTAGGAGTGTATCGAA